TCAATACTACGAAGAACATAAAACTATTTATTTTTGATATAATTAATAATTGTTTCAAGTTCAATTGAATAGGGCTTTTGTTGAATATCAATACGCATTCCTAAGTCACGTGTATAATTTTTTTCCAACACTAAATTACTAACATCAAAATCAATACGATCGTGTGTCAATGCAACATGTGGTTCAATTAGATCCAAAGTAAATGGTCCTGTTCGAACACTTTCATCAATTAATAAAATATATCTCCATTCTTCTCGATAACATTCGCACTTCATACCAAATTTATGAAGTTCATCTTGAAATTTCTCAATATCAAATGAACCGTATGTTGACAAATGACAGTTTAAATCAGCTGGAGCAACTTCTTTATTCATATAAGGAATATTTACGCCATGACGATTTGCCTTATATTCAATCCAATCCTTTGGATTTGCAATATCTGGTCGTGATTTACAATTAAATTTACAAACAGCTACCCAAGCAACAACTTCCATTCGTGTTTCACGTGTTGCTGTTGAGCTCTTGACATTATTATACAAATCAATGTATGTTCGTTTAGGATCTGTAATATGAGAAATTCTCTCTTCAATATCTTCACAATTAGCACGCACTTCAGCACGAAGAAGACGTGGAGAAACACCTGATATCAATAAATTTTAGAGAATATGATTAGTTAACGTTCATTAAAGATCATTTCTCTTTACCTGAATCTGGATGTCTAACAACAGCACACATTTGTAACCAACCTAAAAATGAATCGAATTCTTCTTTGACTTTTCTAATTTCCGAATCTCGTCCTTTCACTGTTATATCACATGCTTTAGTGGCTGCATTACTATTTACTGTTATTGTAACTTGTTTTTGAGCTGCCCATCTCCGAATCATTGGATTAAATATTTGAGTCATTTTCGTGCCACTGAATAAATTTTGTGACAAGTTCTTATATGCTGTTGAGTCTTTGGTATTATTATTTTGTAAAGAAAATGTCTGTTGAACAATTAATTGTTGAAGCAGATATAATTCACTCTTGAGTGTAACACCTGCCGTTCCAGTTAAACTAAGAAGTCTATTATTTAATTCCATCCGAACAGTCTTGGGAAAGATTGTTCTTGCAGTTGAATATTCATTATTAACTTTAAGAAAATTTTCTTCAGTTTCATTTAATTTTATATGTCTTTCAACATCATGTTGAGTTCAGTCAGCTTTTATTTTTCCTAAGAATGAAATTACAGCTATTAAACGAGCAGAACTCAAATAAAGAATATTTCACACTACGACAAGAGATACAGGTGGTTGACTTATCGGTTGTATTAATGTTGATTTTAAATCTAAAACAGCTGTATCTCTTGTCGTAGTGTGAAATATTCTTTATTTGAGTTCTGCTCGTTTAATAGCTGTAATTTCATTCTTNCAAAGATCAAATGATTTTTCTAAAGTATCATATCGTCTTAATGCTTGTCCAATAACATGTCTTATATGACTAAGACCTTTCACATCACAGACACGTGCTAATATGAATGCTCGTGCTGGAACAGATTGTTTAATTAATAAAATTTCATTCATTACATTTAGAAGTGTCATAAAATCACCATCAGAACTTTTAAAACGTTGTGGTATTTGTGTTAATAGATTTGTGGTGTTTAAAACACTTAGAATAGATGCAAGACAAATCAAATCACGTCCGCAATTGTAGTCTCGAAGAGCAGCTAATACACATTGTGTCATTGGCAAAGAATCAAAATCCGGTAATTTAGCAAGTAATTTACCATAGGCTGTCAATTCATTGGAACTTTCCTTCAAAACTTCTATACAAATAGAGAAGCTAATATTAATAAGTAATTCATAATGAAAATTTCATTATTAATGTGGAAACTAACATTATATCAAAAGAGAAAAAAATAATTATTTAGTTTTCATTCTATTCACCTTCCTAAATTAAAACGAGGGTATTTTCAAATTATAATTTTTATCAAACTAACATCATTTATGTATCTTTAGATTGACTTTAACTCGATTTACTTTGATAAATGATGGGAAATAATATAAGTAACAATATATTTTGTTTTCTTTGATCTGCCCAAATTTTAAAAGCATATCGAAATGCCTAGAAAAAAAACTTGATAGTGCAACTCTGTTGAGACTGGAATGTGAAACTCATATGTTTTCTTTAGTTTCATTATACTAATACAAGATACACAATGTGTAAAATCTCTATAAGACAATAGTTCTTTTTCAATAATGATATATTGTCTGTAAACGTTTTCTTTTCTATTTCTACATTTCCAACAGATATTTTCTTTACTTATTTTTACGGAAGTCCTATTTTTCATTTTTATTATCGCTATTCGCTAGCTTATCGGTACTTCGATATATTCTATAACCTGACTAGAAGATCAAACATGATTTCTGCAAAATATTTGTTAGTCAAAAAATCTAGTATATAAAGGTTTAAGAAGATTTTTTTTATGGTCATATTCGGAATAAACATGATCGATAACTCCGTAACCGATAGCTATTGGTTAGTTGAAAACATTTTCTTGTGAGATGCTTCATGTCAAAATCTTAAATTCTATTGAAATGATTTATCATAATTATTTGAAAACATTCCTCATTTAATTTCTATTTGAATGATAAAACATAAGTTTACAGGCATTGTTGTTTTTTGAAGATAAAAATAACTTACGCATTCGCATTAATTCATGCGTGGTATAAAAAATAGCTTCTCGTTTGGGTTGCTCAGGTAAAAATTCTTTCATATAATCTAATCCATTTTTCAATGGAGATTTTCGCAATGAAAATTCAATACTAATTAAGTCCGATTGACATATTTGTGGTACCGGAAATGGTTTAGTTTTAGGATCAAAATCATACAACGCATAATATTTTTCNAAAACAAAATTTCATCTAGCTGACAGGTCATTTTCATGAGTTGTTTTGCATGTTTTTCAAATATCATTAGTTTTAAAAGAATTTCGTCTTATACATTATCGAAGAAAAAGACGTGCCCGCTCCTCCTCTTTCGATTGGTGAAAACCGCAGGTAGCTAGGTATTGCGGTTGTCGAGTTATTGAGCTTACACTCACCCCTCTTTTATTCTGGCGCGGACATTAATCTATTCTATTAACAATCTTTGTGATGTCAGTTCATGTAAATTAACTAAACGTTTTAATGTTAGCCAATTAACTATTAGTCATAATTTACGTCGAAGAACATTAGTGCTTATGAGAAAGCGTAAAGTTTAAAAAATGGACAATGAAATTCAAGAAAAAAAATCCGGAAAAATTGTAGCAAATTGTAGAAAATGATTCCTTGTAATTGTGATCTCAAAGTAGACGATGCAACGTGATTGTATACAGTTATAAAGTGGAAAAAGTTTCCTCTCGCATAGTAAAAAAATTTTCTTTTAGCAGTCGTGTCTATGAAGAAATACAAAAGGTCGATATTGTGTATCATTACTTTTACATTGTATATTACTAGTAAGATATTTTTTATAGGTTGGTGTCCACCAGAAGATGATCTTTCATCGACAATGCCTGTTCAAGAAACTCTTAATTTTACAATATTTATTAAGAATTTTATTGAGTTTCCAGCATTCAATATTAAACATAGAAATATGGTTGATAATTTGAAAAACCCATGTACTTTTCATCCAGAACATTATAAAGATTGTCCGATATTTAGAATTGATTATATAATGAATGAAGCTGAAAAAAATATTAGTGAACGTAATTTAATGTTACGTCATGGTGGTATTATACGTATTAAAATTGATTGGGATTGTAATTTAGATCGAAATATAAAACGATGTAAGCCTGAATATTCATTTGCTCGTCTTGATGTACCTTTTCAAGAAAAACCATTTTCACGTGGTTTTAATTTTCGTTATGCTTCTCATTGGAAACGTAATAAGAAGCATTTTCGTACATTAACAAAAGCTTTTGGTCTTCGTTTAATAATTGCTATTAGTGGTAAAGCTGGAAAATTTGATTTTATTACATTAACTTTAAATACTGGTTCATTAGTTGGACTATTTGGTTTAGCAACATATGTTTGTGATATTATTCTACTTCATATATCAAAAAGAGCACCTTTTTATCGTAATCATGTATTTGAAATTGTTCATCTACGAACACGTGCTAATAGTACAATAAACGAACCAAGAAAATATGTTTCAAGAAACGATGATGAATATTCAAATTCCAACTCAAATATGCAATCAGAATTATCGTATGCAACACCTGAGTATAGTCCAACGTCGTCCGGAAAAACAGTTACCATCGGTGCAGTGACTTTTATTAATCCGCTTTCATCAACATATTAACAACGTTTTTGAATGAAGTATTTTCAATCATAGATAATAACGGTTTTCTTTGTGAAGAATTTTGTTATTATGTTTAGTTTTTTTATAATCATCTTTATATATATTTTCTTTTTGAACTAAATAAAAGCTTAACATATTGAAGCCAAAATTATTATTTAATTAAAAATTGAATTTTCAAACAATCTATTGTACTTATGTCATTTGAATTGATTGCATCAAAATTTTATGGATGAAAGTGTGAAGTGTTTGTGAGTATACTGTTCTCATACCTTGACTACTAGATGAAAAAAAAGGAACAAGTTGTATTCTGAAAAAATTAAATGGTCATCAACCAAGAGAAACTATAAGCTTGCTTGGCTAATGTGATTCAGATCCGGAAGTAGTTTTGTTATAATTTACCTCTCGTTGTCTGAAGACCTCCTATTCTTTCCTATTCATTTACTCAATTTCTTCATCTATATTGTTATATTATTTGATATAATAGCTTGCACTACTTATATTTATTCATCGGCTGATAAAAGCATATTTTTGTTTGCATCTAATCTGTTGGTGGCACAATAACACAATAGAACCCAAAAAATATCTGTACCTTCATATACAATGCTACTGTTTGGCGGGATCTATCTGTGTTTGGCCTTGTTTCGTTGTTATACCTGTAATACGCTTCATAACTTGTTGCCAGTCGCTGAATACTTATCGTAGATGTGGATTTTGGATTGAGTATGGAAAGATGTTATTATCGTTGGAAGTCATTGAAGCAACTCGCAAATATGTGCAGAGCATACCTGCTTACTTAAGCCATTATAGATATTGCCAGGAACACAGTCATTGGTTAAGTGTCACTACTATTACTCACAATTGTGACGTTTGCAATTGTGATCAATGCCTGTTAGAGAGCATCGTTACATGATGCATTCAGATTCTCGGTGTGTATGTGCACGTGTATATGCATTTCATGCAGCTCTTTGTTTTTCTTCTGTCTTTTTTGTTTTTGTTTATGGATTCTCCAATTCATCGTCCTGTAATCATCTAGACCAATCACTTTCTTCATCCATGAAAATAATTGACACTCTAACATTCCTTTTTGTCTATGTTTTCTCACTTATTGCGTCTTTAAGAAAATAAGTTGCATGATACTGTCGTCTTTTTGTGATAGCAACCTAATCTCAGGTACGAAAGAGAGAGAGTGCAACTTCGCTTTCTTTTTCTATCGCCTTAGTTTCTCTAATATCTCTGGCATGACATATAAAAACGGATGAGCTGTAGTAAATAACCTCTGGACTTAACTCAGATACGAATTCTCAATAATTGGGACATAGTGCTAGGGATTGACCTCTGTAGTAGTGCCAATAACAAGTTTTTCTGCATGAAATGCTCTGGAAACGACTTCTGCCATTTTCTCCATAGATTTCTTATTGGTTTACAAAATTACGTTTTCATGTACTGATGGACTTAAAAAACTTCGTTAAACTTCGTCCATGGTCACATGAATTCGTATCGCTTCAGTTCGACGATGCACTCGCCACGTTTCCTTTTTTCAGTTAGCTGCGCATCATTTTTCTAACATCAATTACTATTAGCAATCGACTCATAACTCGATACGTTCAAGGTAATCCTGTTCTTTTGTACCACATCCGAATCACAATTACTGTCACTCTAAACACTATTAAATTTTGCATTCAATCAACTCATTTGAATACTTAATAAAATGCAATGTACAAATCGGGACATGAACGACCATTAAACAAGATGAACGAATCTCGTTGTTGTTGAAGAATTGCTATGTAGACGCTTTTCCCATCCTGAACTAAAGTACTCAGCCATCCACGTGCTACACATGAAAAATCATGAAAATAGATTGCATTACTTTGCTTAATAACATCAACAAAAGCATTTATCGAATCAAGATTAAGTTTCTCGATCGTTATAAGTAGAATATGCAAGTGGTCAAGCCTCTAAAAAAGCCAGATGTTTTGTCATTTGAATATTTCACAATGATTCTGTCAACCATGTCAAGATCAACTGCTCTGTTTTGTTGCTGACGCTAGAATCACTCGTTGTATTGGTGTTTTGGATTGGAAGCCATATTGAAAGGGACATACATTGATTATCTGTCAATGAGGGCGTGAGAATTTATTTCATCGTGTTTCTCATCCTCAAATCTACAGTTGAATAGTCTCATAAGAAGTTGGTTCTCTGCGAATAGAGAATATCGATGGCAGACGATTTCGTAACTAGACGAGAAGTTCATTCTTCGTCGATAATGATTGATCACGAATCTTTAGATTGTTTCCATATTGGCAATGCAACGTTCGAAGATTTGGCATTGTGTTGACAAGATTGAGTATTTTTGAGCGATTCATTATGTGAATCCAAAGAGCTTGGCATTGACGACACAATGGTGATTTAATCAATGTTGAACACTGGGCTACTGTGAAATATCCAATATGTATAAGATGAAATCGACAAACCGATGTACTTTTAATTTTCCATAATTGGAAATCTACATTCTCTCGAAGTGTCAACGAATAGAGTCTATGTGTTCGATTGATTAAGGCTTGTACATCAGATATACAAGTATCTCGATTCAGTTAGATAGTCAATGAGATCAAGTGATCCAATGTAGGCATACAAGACTAAATTGTTTCATGAATAGGAAGATCTATGCTCATATCAAGAATCTTAGGAATACGAATAGGAGATAGCCATTTATCGGTTCCATATACATTCTCTATGACTCGCACATTATTGTAAGAAGAAAAATCTCGATCAGTCGGACAACCCGATGTGTAACATATATTCGATGTCCAATTGGACAATGCGTCGTGATAATAGGGTAAAGTGTAAAGTAGGTGTTTTGTTGTAGTCCTTGTGAATCCCAATGACATCGAGCCAGAACGGTGTAGGAAAAGTTTCCATTAATTCATCAACTCGCTTTTCCATGTTTTTATTAACTGAAAAGTTAAATATCATATAAAATCGAAATATTTTGTTCTTCTTCAACAAATGATCTACTATAACTTTTTTTCCGTTCATGTCCATTCGAATACATTCCTGAAAATCTAATTGTTAAATGAGGCAAATTCGGCGTAGTTTTCAAGAGACGAATTAATGTAAGTTGTGATGATTCACAAACAACATCCAATCTTATTATTGATGAAAATATATATACTGGTAAATCAACAATAAAATTGCTGGAAAGATTTATGGCTAAGTGTCGCAATCGAGGGATACGTTCGGATACATTCAACAAATATCTTACATTCAGATAGATCGTTGTTACGGAATCAGACTCGGTCGATGTTGAAGTCCCAGTCAATCTCCAAAATCGTTTTGACACTGATCGAAAATCAAACTTATAGTTTCAAAAATGGACGAGAAGCAATGTGTTGAAGCGCTTATTGAGACCATAACAAGTATTGAAGAGATGAACACCATCGCAAAAATTCGAATAGTTCAAGCAACACTTCATTGACCAATGATTCCAATTGCATCTTATTTTTTATCTAGAGAACAGAATGGGGTTCAGGAACTTCGCCAATAAGATTTTCGCCAATAGGGCTTTCGACAATTTTATTGTGAATTAAATATGGATTAAAAATTTTCTATTGATTACATGGATAGATGATGTTCATCTATGCCGCAGCCATAAGCCATATAAAAACTTGTGGAGATTCGTTCGATGCTTAAAGCAAGAAGCAAGTGTAATATCCCATAAAACGGTTTAGACCGAACTAGGTTTTTCTTCTGCTTAACTAAAACAATCGACGCACGAAGCAGCAGGTAATACTAAATAGACTGAAAACCTGTTGCACTTGTTAGAGCTGAAAACAAGACCATTAGCTGATACAATCAAGTCTCTTGCTCATTTTTTTGGCGAACTTATTTGTCACGAAAGAAAATGAAAGAAAAAGAAGAATGATGTTTCCAAATCAGAATTATCAGATTCGTTGTCAAATGAAAATTACGTCACGTTTTATTTATGTTTCTTTTCATATTAATCTCGCTTTTTTTCTAATTAAAAGCATGACTCGCTCATATTCGCCCACATCCTGAGTGTACGCTATGATACATATATTCTAACAACACTAGCTTCAGTTCTTACATCTATTCTGTATTAATATTGTTTCGTGACAGTTGTCGAACGTCCACTTTACTTTTGCCAATATACTATTGGGCTTTCGTCATTGGCAAATGTCCTATTGGCGAAAGTCTTATTGGCGAAGTTCCGGTAACCCAACAGAATGATATAATAGAGTTGTGCATTTTTATAGAACAAATAAGAACAAAAGTGTTTCGTCATCATTGTGTGCATTTTCGTTCTTTGATGGATGCGAAAGAAAAGGTGTTGTAATCATTGAAATTCGTTTCTTTTTATGGCGTTGGCGATAAGTCCATGATTCTTTTCTTTACCTTTAAAGTTTTATTTTAAAGTAGTTCGAATCGAATGAATGAAAGTAAAGCATTTTTAATTGTTCCTTTACATTATCATAGAATTTGTGACAGTAAAAAAAATGTCATCGTAATTCACCTGTACGAATTGGTGACATACATAACAGATTCTGTAAGCATGTCGTTTGAATGAAATATACGTGTTGTGTAAGTAGCTTGCAGGCATTTGGCATTACTCTCGATTCAATCATTGTTAGATAATCGAAACAAGTTAATATTGACTGTGTGTCGATTATGCTGCTGCTTCTTTTCATCGGTCTGTTTAATGATCTGTATTTTTATGATACATTTGAACGACACTCACCTCGAAAATCTGACATCAGCAACTATTTGCTTTTTGTCATGTGTCTCAATCAAGTTATATTCTTCTGTCTACTCTTCAAATTTTCTGAATTGGGTTCATGTGGAATAAGTTGCCTATTTTCTTTTGATCTTCAGATGATCGAATAACTGCTTAACAAGTCGGATTACCTATTATCATCTTCTTATAATATTCTATCCAACTTCATCTTTTACGAAAAATTTTTCTCTAGCTATTGGAATAAATT